ATGGGCACGATTACGTGGAGCAGTTGCTTGACGGCGGCAGCAGCAGCGACGACGACGATGAAGACGACGGAGGCTACTCTGTGCGGGGCGTAGCACGCTGGCCTTGGTAGGAGCGCGCGTGTCGTTGACATGGAAAACCGCGTGAGCCTTGGAAAAAAAGAGCGCAAGGGTTGCCCGTGCAGTATCGTAGTCAGTCGATCGCTGTCACACCGATCTGTCCCTCGATGGTTAAGGACAGATAGTTGAGGGGAAGAGAGGAGAGGCAAGAGGATTAAGATACAAACGCGCAACCGAAAGAAACAAATTTGATATTTCTTTTCAATAGCAAAAATGAGTAAATCACTAATGTTTAAACGCTTTAAGTTTTTCTGGGGAAAACACCACCTTAATTTTTACAAGTTTCCGTACCCACGTTTTTGACACACGGGTGCTCACAGACACCAACCGGTCACTGCAAGCGCCGCCGGTACAAGCCAGCCCCTCTTTACCCCCACCATCAATTGTAGAACGTTCTCAGGGACGACATTTTTAGGGTGCTAAAAACTTTTTAATTTTTAATTCTTATTTCATTTTTCATCTTTAAATAAAATTATAGAAAATACAATGTATTATAGATGCTCAATAATTATTAAATTGAGAATATATCAATGAAGTTTAATGAGATTTCATAATATTACTTAACTTTATAAAGTGTTTTATGATTGGTGGATTATATATGATTTCGAGAATCGAAATTTGGAATAATCGGATATCGAAACAACAGATTTCTACCAATAAAGTTATTTACTTTTATATAATAACTCGCGATTGGTTGTCAAGATTTATCTTTTTGAATTTTACGATTTAAAATCATCCATCGTTTTAAACAATCATTTTCGTTAAGTGCTTCATAAAGTAAAAAATTGATTTAGAAAAGATTTTTGCTAAAATTAATTGAAAAATAGTATAAAAGAAGACAAAATGCAAGTAAGTCAATATAATATATTTATTATCGTATCATTATGTTGTGTTAATAAATATATATGTAAATAACTTGCAATAGTATTAATGATAGTAAAATAGAATTCTATTTTTCACGATTCTTGATAAAAAAAGATTTTAGAAATTTAATAGTTTATAAGAAAAGTTATTTTATTTTGATATATTTTTTATAATTTGATATTTGTAGAATGTAAAAAATTATTCTAAATTTCTTTTATAGAACTATAGAATTGCATACGTTCCTGAAGTCCTCGTTTTCCTAACCCTTCTTACCCCAAAGTAACAGCTGCGCATAGTATAAGTACATACGTCCCTTTGAAATCACATTCCCAGTAGCTTGCAAAAGATCATTAACTGATAATTCCTTCGTTGTGTGACACATTCAGATTTAATGCTATTTTATAGCTCTATTGTCTATCAATGATGTTATACCAATCAGATTAAATTTTAATCAAATCTTAGTTTTCTAACCTCAAACATGATCAATAATTTATAATCTCTTAATTTATAATCTCTTACGATTATTTTTTTTTAGAAAATATTTATTTTTTCTATTAAAAATATTTTATAGATTTTTTTAAAAGATTTTTTGTAAAAAAAATAATTTTTATAAATATATTATTAAATTAATATTTTAATTATTTTAAAAAAAAACATGTATTAATTAAATATTATAAAAAAAGAAATAATTTAATATTCAATATTGTTAATTTTTTTTGCATATTTTTATCTTAAAAATTTTCTTTATTTCGATTTCACATCTTTTATCGATTGTACCAAATTAGGTAAAATTGGATACTCAGCGTCATCTATCTTGATACTTGGAAAACGACTAGTGTTCGCTCGAGAAAACAGAATTAAAGTTTAACATTATTTCATATTTTTAACGAATAATAAATAAATAAATATATATATATATTTCATTTCTATATCAGATAAAAATTAAATTAGTAGATTATTAAAATAATATCATATGTAATATACATGATACATAATAACATGATTTATATATTGAAAAATTTATTATAATTTTATAATTTTTTATTTTTAATATTAAATAGTTTTTTAATAATTTTATGCAATGCTTCGTCTTGAATTAACTTATTAATTAATTAATTAAGTTATTTAATCAATTCAACTTCTATTAAAAATAAAACTTATAAATATTATTAAAAGAAGAATTAACAAACATATAATGAAATATTTATCAATGAAATTACATAATATACAGTTAAGAATCTTTCAGCACGACAATTAAATAAAAAATGCAAAAATAAGATTTATCTCTTTATTAAGACATAATTTACATAATACTAAACATACACAATAATTACACTCTTCTAATACACAAATTAAAATAATTCATTATTGGTACGAGGAGTGGTACACTTTTTATATACTACATATTGTACAGAGTGTTCCATAAAAAATTGATTTTACATAAAAAATCAAATTCATTTTCTCTGTACATATTTTTCACGAGATTTGTGATTTGAGTTAACTATTGTCCTTATTCACAAAAATAGCATTTTCTGCTATAAATTATACGCATTCTATGCATTTTTGCAAAAACAAAAATTTGCTAAAATTAATTTTATTTTGTATTTACTATTTTGTTTTCAAAAATTAATATTTGTATTATTTATTAAAGAACACTCTATTTAATTAATTACTGCAGAAAATATATTAATTTCCATGGTATTTCTTTTCGATTCCGTTTCGTTTCATAAAGATCAATAATCCGAATATTATTGTGAATAAGATCGTGCCAATCTAATGTGAAATTTAAATTTATAGATTTAAATGTGATTTAATGGAGTAAACAGGAAATAATTTTACAATCATGTAAAATGTTTCAACCTGAAAGTTAGCTGTAATCGGATTCAACTGAGCGAGACTCTCAACGAAACCAAACGAAATCTCAACCAGCCTCTCATAATGGAAAGCATACTTACAAATCTACTATTACGATAGAATACTTTGCCGAGTACTGTCGACACTCGTTTTTATTGTCAAAAAGCACCATAAAGGCTGCTCTTGACTAGAATATTAAAAGATTGGTCGACTATTAAAAGCTTACAATTATTAACAGATATTTTATAATAATTTGCAATATTATTTTAATTTTTTTAGATTATTTGTTTAAAAATAAAATCATGATAAGTGTATAGCCCTACCAAATATATTTTATAAACTTAGATTTTCAAACAAACAATGTTTGTTTGAATTCCTCGATCGTTTGTTAAATATATAATCATTCTTAAGTTTTCAATATTCGTTTCAGTCACTTAAAATCGTATAATTCAATTTGACGATTTAATTATTACATATATAAAGGGAATGTATAATCGATACGATAATGCATGATAATTTAATTTTAATTAAATTTTCGACTAGTCTTCTTGAATTTTTCAATTAGCACTTAATTAACCGATGAGGAAATAGAAATTATTTAATATTCTTTTCATAGTATTAGATTGGAAAGAAAGTTCTTGCGGTTTTTAACTATTAAATTTAAATGCACATATCTCAGCTCAAACAAAACTTTATTAATCGAAATAAAGATCATTGCAATCAATGCACTTTTGGCAACGAGAAACAAATTTTGTTGAATAAAATTCTGGAATCTTGGAGGCGACAAACTCGTTGAATCGCCGTTTCAGCATCTCTCTGGGATTTGAAACGTTTCTGCGCTCATCGTCTTCAAGACTCTCTTAACCGCTTCGAAATTTTTTAAATCACCATTATGCAGTATGTTCGTTAGTGGTCCTAGGACCAAACGCGTCGCTGATATCGCGAATCGATAGTTTTCTAATCTAGTTTGAACTGAAATAGGAAAATTGTTCGAATCTGCTTCTTATCCATTATATTTTCAAGAAATCAGAAAAATTAATTTGAAAATAAATATCACAAAATTAAAATTAATATCACAAAGCGAAAAATACCCTTTAAAATTATATACAAAGTCAATGTAATTTAACATCAACTTAATCGAAAATAAAGCATTTAAAATCAAAATAAGAAAAATCGTAAGAATTTTTTTTCCAATCTAATATAATGACATCATTTGTTGTAAGCAGTGAATACTCACTTTGAAGGCTACACACTCATTTTTTTTACATTCAATTTATGATTCATTCTAAAGATATATTCAAATATTTTTTTCTAATACTTTCAACCTCTCTTTTACAAAATTAAATTTAGAAAATATAAATATTAATAGTATCGATATCACACCAAAATTTTCCAAATAATCTCAGATTTTTTTTTTTTTCTCTTTGTTTCAGAAAAAATAATATCATATAATAATCAAAATGTTGAAATTCTTTTTCGCATTCTTCAATTTTATCCTGATTGAATCAATTGAAAAATAAATATGATTCAAACAAAAGAGTAACTAAAAGTAACAAGTAGTCTTCGATGATTCACAGATTGAAGCGATTAATTTCAGGTGCAATGAATGTTCTCGGCACAGTTTTGTAATCTTTCGAGCCTCTCCCTGGCGTTCGTTGACTTGTGGTTCAGGGCTAGGTCCTGGCTTCGTTTGTGGCGCGTAATAATGTGCGTGCGGCTTACTTTGCTGCAAAACTGGGACGCTGCGTGCTGAAAGAGGAGACAATTGTGGGAAGAGAGGTTGAAAGCGAGATTACCACGATGCTCTGTTGTTGAACATCTTTACGTGTAGTTTCTTTTTTTCAACAATCATTGGACTTGGAATTGATGGAACTTTCCGATAGATTGCATGTTTTTTTTTTTTTCAATTAACAAATGCGCATGAAAATGCGGATTCTAATCACGTACTGTGCTATATGAAAGATTCATTTCACACTGGCACTGTACGTGTTTAATAGCCTGCCTTTAAACGTGATAGCTCTACGCTACTGAACAAAAGTTTGAGAATCATTCTCTTGGTAATATTATTTTGTGAAAATTCAAGAAATTTTGATTAAAATTTTATAGAGTTTATAAGTAGAATAATATTTAAATATTATATATAATATTAATATTAAATATAAGTATACATTGTTCATATTTTTTATATTTTTAGTTTTATATTTAAAATATAACAATGAAGATGATGGTTCGAAATTCGTGACCAGTACAGTAGTATTTACACGATTCGACAATCTATTTTTTTAATGTTTTGACTTATATTATGATAACGATATGCACGATACTTCTATACAAAAAATCGACGTGAATTTCCAAAGATCTTAAGACCGAAGATATGAAAAGCATTAATAATTGCAAGCAATAAATGATGGAAAATTGCGTTTACCAATGATTACAGACAAATGATTGTTTTTCATCGTAGTATACAGCTTCAATTCATCGTCGCAAATAAGGCCATATGTATTAAAGCTACTCGTACGTGTTACATGTGTAATGTACACACTGATTATACATCAAACATATATATATATGTATATATGTGTATGTATATAAGATATATATATATTATATACATATAATATATACGTATTCATAGTTCGAGACTAAGGTACTATAAATTCATTATTCTTTGTCCTTCTTTTTTTTCCCTTATTCAGTTAACTAAAAAAAAAGGAACGAACAAAACGATAGATACATATTTTGCATTCACGTAAGACCATACAAGATTTATCGTACGTAATTTTTGTTCCAAATAGAATGATTATGTCATTAAATAACAAATATATATATATATATAATTAATAATAATTATTATCTTATCTTAAACTTATGGAGTGATAATAAATGACTATTTCCTCAGAAATGAATCCTCTGGAATCCATATGTATCATCTAATATATGACACGATAAAATAATATGCTAAAGCTTGTATTCTCATATTGGCTGAAGTAATTAAAGGATTAAAATAATTAAAATTTCTCTCCTTAACAATAAGTTTATATGTATATTCTGATTACTTCAAGCAATATTAACTGTTTATTTCAAAAATTAGAAACTATTCTCCATTGTTTGAATAGGAATTTATAAGTAACGCGTGCCGTATTAAAAATCACAATGGCTTTAAGACAAATGAAAAGTCAAGGAATGGAATGTTGCCGGTATCGCGTTACAGAGGATCAATTTCTCCAGGTAATAAAATCAATGTCATTCATTATCGTTGCCTTCAATTTGTTCCCGAGTTGTCGTTTCTATCTTGTCGAACTTTGATTCCATAAAATTTATGCTCGTTAATATTTCGTTTTTTTTTTCCAAACCATTTTGAAAAACTTCCAATAAGCAGAATTTTCATCGATAATAATTTTCATCGCGTTCTTAATAAATATCTTTCTTTCAATCTCATATATGTATCCTAGAAGCACAACGTGAATTTTTATTTAATTTCTCTTTTAAGTCGTGCAATCAGACTGGAAGTGTTTTAATTTGATTGATAGGTTTAATATTCTTCATTGACGATGTTAATTTGAGGTCAATTAAATACGAATGCGATGGCATTACAGCGAAAATTTAATCTGTATAAAAATATAATTTTTTTACCCGATTATTACGATATGACTTAACGTTCAGCAATTCAACTAAGTGACTTGATTAAACGCGAACAAAAAATAAATATTTATGAAATTATCAATATATAATATATTTACAATAAAAATATTTTCATTCCGAAGTATGACTTCTCTTACTAATATTTTCTTTTTTCTGTATAAGAAACATTATTGTAAAACTTTATTTGATTTTAAAAAATCTAAGAAAATATTTTTTTCTTTTCTTTTTTATCATCAATAATGTTATTATATAATGTATAAAAGTAAGAATATTAAGCCATTGTTCGTAATAAAGACGATGTAGAAATACTTATTCGTAATAGTACCGATGAACTGCAGGAGATCAATTTTGCTCTCGGTCCATTTCGATGAAAATCTTGAACACAGCAATTGCGATTGTGAAAATGACATTGAAGAAAGATGCTTTTGATCATTTTGATTCTCGAGAAATTTATTATATTATTATTTTACTTCTTTGATCGAATTACTCTTCGATTGGCAGGATTCTTTATCTTTGTTTGAACAACACAGATCTACAAACTTTGTATATAATAATATAATTGTGAATTAAAATTTTTATTGCAATCAAAATTAATTAACCATTCAAGATCATTTCTTTTATCATGAAAATTATATTAATAAAAATTGAATAATTTTCCTGGAATATATATATAGTATTACGTATCACTTGAAATCGATATATTTCTAAAAAATAATATTTATGGAATTAAACTGAAATAAACGATGCTAAAGAAGTAGAAAAATTAAAATTAATATTAATTAATGATCTCAAATGATCAAGTACTTGATATTTTTTTCACCATGATTTCAGATCACTTACAATCAGTACTCTAAATATTCAAGGCCACCAAAAATTCTGGACGGTTCATCGTACGTATTATCTGTAATTTTGTATTTCGAAAAAGATAAAATGTCTTTAATATATCCGAGCATATCTGAAGAAAAGAGAACAGGGGAACAAGAGAGAAAGAAAAATTACTGCACGACGAAAGCCAACAGAATGGTTAATCCGGTAGTAACGGCGAGACTAATCCTGTTTGCAGCTGAAGTGGGAATCTCCGGCTGTTCCGGCGCGGTTCCGTTCTCCAAATATTGGTAACTTTTAACTCCAGTTTGTGATCTGACTACTCGATAGTTTGGTATGCTAACGTTGACTCGATTCTCCAATATATTTTGCAAAGAATTGGTAACGCAATAAAAGTTACCATCCTCGTCGAACGCAAATGTATCTGGCCATTGCATCCTTTCATGATCTCTCGAGATCACCCTCTGCCCAGTAGTGAACGAGATGGATTGTTTGGTATCCCACATAGCTACAGCATCATCAGCCAACAGTCCAAAGTATAACACTCCTTTGGCTGACATCATCATTCCATCAGTTTGAGAATTTTTTCTTCCTAGTTCTTTAACGTAACTATCCACATTGCTTTCATTGTTCTTCAGCACTGAAGTTGGTATAGAATAAAGATAGAAGGAGGATAATGGTGAGTAATATATTTGTCTGTCATTACTACTTGCAGGAGACAAAGCAATTCCATCGATAGGTACAGGTATATTTATGGGAGTTTTGGAAATCATGAATTTAACTGCTTCGTGTTTAGCTTTCATAGAATCGTGTCTAACTTTCCACGAAGTGTTGTTTCTCAAAGAGTAAACAATTATACCAGGATCGTTGCGATCACTGTCGGTAATGTATGCCATACCACCATCCTCGTGATCCAAGACAATATCATTTAAATGAGCTGTACCATGATGAGCTACGTTCGTAGGGAATTCATAAATTCGTAGAACTTCGCCATTTTTCTCGAGATCTAGGATTACTAATCTCGGTGGACAAGTGGTCTTTACTTCTAAAGAAAGAGGTGACATCTTGCCAGAATCTAGTACCCACATACGTCCTATGGGATCGATCTCCATACTTTGGACCATCTGAAATGCACTACAGTCTCCAATTTTCTGCATCTCCCAATTGGGGAAAGCTTCCAGTTTAGGAGCAGTAATATAATTCACCGGTTTAGCAGAAGTGACTCCAAGAGTTACAGGTACTCCATCTTTCCATCTTGGTATTGTCAAGTACATTTTACCCTTCCAAAATTTAATACCGGCTATGAAATTATTGGCTGGAACGTAATCACCGTGGCTGATTGCATACTCTTTATTCTCTTCCGATGGCCACATTACGTCGATCGTGTTCCATTGAAAGACTACCCGGAATGGTTCGTGACACTTTGCCACTGCGACGAGAGTGAGTAAGAGTACAACAATCTTCATTTTCTACACTGTATTTACCCACTGTATATGTTTCTTTATCACGATATATCTCACTTTTCTTAGCCTGATCACGTGGCAGGAAGAGACGAAGACTTAACAACGATCCAGTTGAAAACTGATATCCGGAATAAGAGTGTTTCGTAGCCCGGTAAATGTCGCCAGGGAGAGGAAGAAAGTCTATTCTCGAGTCGACCGGCGTAACGAATATTTCGCACGTGCCAACTGCGTTGGCTGGTCTGTTTTTGTCAAGTAACTGATCAACACTGTTCACTGACCATCCATTTACCTTGTGGTGATCTCAACAGGCCTATTACGCGGAGACGATCGCGGTTTGACTGACGAAGACGCGGAGCGTCGCTTAGAGAGGCGTCGTCTCCCCACCAAACGACGTGTATTAACACACTATGATCGTGTGTGCAAGTGTATACGCTATACGTGTGATCGTATGTGGATGCATTTGGATATTGTATGTGCAACAGGAACAAGGTATCCCCACTATTTAATTCCCAAGCGAAACGTAGCTCTATTATTTAACCGATGATGCATCATGGAAATATAAATTAACATTGTTATTTGAAATTATATTCATCATTGTTGATCAACGATACTCGCTTCGTTTAATTGAGTTAATTTTATTAATTTTCTATTAATCAAAACGATTTAACGATTTAAATAGTTATAAATTATTCTTGTGTTCATTGTATTTTAGAGAATTTTTTTTTTTTTATGCTATTTTTTTTTTTTTTTTTATTCTAGAATATGGATATTGAATTATATTCTTGTTAAAAAGAAGATGATTATTGACTCAAAAATTTATGAAATTTAGAAGTATGTAAAAGTATATTGTAATAGTATTCCATGGCTAAACTAGAAAAGTTTTCCTTTCTTCTTATGAATCTCTTGAAAGTATTATCACGTTCATAATTTGTTTTCTTTCTTTCATTTCTCATTATGATAAAAAAATCATGACTAAATTAGCGGTGATTCTCAATCAATTTTCAGTTGGTAATTAGATTAATATCCTTCTTAGAATTCTATTTTTTCTTTCTGCGTATGTTCATTGTTAAGTTAAACGAAAGACGGTTGACTGAAATGGTACTGAGACCGGTGTTGTAAGGCCGGATCCATTTGAAAGGGAAACGTTGAAAAGGGTGAGCTTAGAAAAGACTGTTGTGTTACGTTTTATATTGCCTAAGATGATCCCGAAAAATCGATTCAACAGTCGCTTCTTCGTACTTCTCCCTTGGACAATTACGTTATTCAGAATTTCGTTGAATTCGTTTTCTTTCTTGATAAAGAAACTTGATCGAAAGGCAACGCTATCATAGAACATTCATTATAAGGAAATGTTTATGTGTGGAGATTAGTAATAGGAGAAATTTGCACTTCAATTACAATGAATATATTTTAAAAACCATATTATCCATTTTAGAAAAAGTATCAGTCAATAATAGTTTTAATTACAATGTTTATATTATATCAATATCGTCATTCCAATCATGCTGATTAATTTTCTTATTCCATATTATATATACATATCTACGCTGCAATAAAATAATAGTAAAACAATATTCCCATTTAATTGTTTAAAATTTCTAAAAAAAGTTTCTTTTCTTTAAAAATCTATCAGAATTCTATTAAAAATTTTGATTTAATTTATTTTTTAAAACTTTTCATTTAATTTTAGGACAAATTTATATCTTTCCTACTATTTTTTATTCGCAAGATTTAGTTTGTTTGCTTGAATAAATAGATTTGAATACAATTACATGAATGCAATTATAATGATTTTAAAAAATATTGAAATTGATGTAATTCTGTAAAATAAATAATCCTTTAATAATTGTTATTTGAATATTATATTCGAATTTACGAATGAACCAATAGATGTCATATTTTTAAAAACAAAATATAATATTTCTGATAGTTATCCAAATATTTATAAAAATTTTCACAGAAAGACAAAAAGATAAATTGTCTGTCATTGCCAATATACGATTTATAATTAAATAAGTCTTGAAAACTATATAATAAAACTACCTGTAATAATGATCCATAAAAGAGATGAACATTGATTGGTAAACGGATGAGCATAATTGTTGACTCATGATCGTGTGACATGTAACGTAATGTTATAACAGTAATGAAGAACGTGTATATTGGCAGTATATCTATAATAGTGTTGACTATTTTTACACCATATCATCAAAGATTCTTCCAGACGTTCATAGAATCATTCTTATTCATTGTTTTGATCCATTATAGAGTTTTAAGATGCTCACCACGTTTCTTCAATTATATAATATATATATATATACATATATACATATATTCGTATATATTCGTATATATTCTTTCCAATTCATTAAATGATCATTAGAAGAATGCTATCAATCAATCGTTGTCCATGAGAAATATTTCACAATCATAGAATTGTATTATATCGATTCAACATCTTATATGCCTTCAAATCTTCTTATATATTCCTAATATATCTATATTCTAACCATTTTCAATTATTTTTCTCATCAACGTCATGAGTATTTTTATTAGAATATATCTTATAATCTTATTTAGATTATATTTTAAATTAAATTGTATTTTTATTCACCAGGTAATCATATAAAGTAAATCATATATCTTTCACGAGTTACCAACAGACTATATAGATATTATGTACTTTCTGTCGTGCCTAATGATCTAACAGTTTATTTCATTATCCATCCCAACCAAAATTATCTGTAATTATTTGACGAACATTTTTATGAATCTGAATTAAATTTTTGAAAATTCTTTAAAATATTATCTCTAAATATTTAAAACTAAAAATATTTTTCTAAGTGTTTATTTTAATCATTACATTTGTTTTTTATTTCATGTCTCAAATTAACATAGTCTCATTTACTTGTTAGTATCTTTTGTTAGTGATAAAGTTATTTTCATTTCGTTAAGTATCCTAATTCATAAATTCTTTAATATTATAATTAAATTAATCATAATCTTCTTTATATTAAATTACAATGTAGAAATGATGGCCAAAAAGAAAAAAATAATCATAAGTAATCAAATGCGTTTCAAAAGCACACCACATTAACATGCTAAGAACTAGACTAACAGAAAGATTAGAATTACAGATTTATGCTAATTGATTGCTTATTAATATTGCCGAAACGATTTAGTCACAGTTGGCTAGCAGATACTATGCCATTTCTAGCGCTTAGAAGTATTAAACGTGCAAGAATGTTACTTTAATTGACACTGGTCCCACTTCAAATATTACGATTGAATTTCTATTTGTTTGTTAGTCTAATTACAATGCCGATGCGTTTGTATTTTATCTATTATCTAACGGTTTCTCTTAATAAATACAATAAAACATTGTCATTATGAATTTAAATGTTCTCCTTATTTTTTTCAGATTGAAATTTTTCCATTTTACTGATTCAGCGAATGATTAACACATTGCGAAATAATAATTGTTCACCGAGATATCTAGAAAGAATGCGAATAAGAAGTAGAAACTTGCTAAGAATCATCGTTATTTTCCTTCCAACGTATTTCCCAACGTCTGTCTTCTTTTTAGAGTAAATATTGTATCTCGGTAGTCTTTGCGACGTAAAAACCACAAGTCTTTTGTAAAATCTGCAAGCATCTAAATTTTAGATGTATTATAAAAATATATTCGTGAATTTGACGCGTGAACCATCACAACAATCATTATATAATATCTATAATTCTCAGTGAATTTCCGTATGAAATATTGGTTTATATAAATGATATAAATCAAATTAACAGTTTAATTAATACTGCTGATTGATCATTTGCTTACAACATTTTAACTTATTTATTAATATTTTGCTTATAACATTTTAAATAATTTATTTATTCTTGAAATTGATAATTAATCTTTCAAACAAGAGTTAAAATCTAATCTATTATCTTATTAATTTTTTTTTTTTTTTTTTTTGCAATTTATATCTGGTAATTTTTATTAATATATCAAATAATAAGAACTTTTTGAAAAATCGAAATTGATATTAATGGTGAAACTGATTAATAAACTTGATCATTATATAATTGCAAAGCTATTGCAAATTGATATGAATAAATATACATACCTACATCACAGCGAATGTTCGTAGGCTTGAAAATCAACGGCCTTGTCGTGCTTTTATGTCGACGTAGTTTCACATCCTCTGTGAAACATCAGTTGCATTCGTGACTGAAAATTCATGTCATGGCCCATTTTTTTCCTTCACTTTCATTGACGTTATCCAAATTTGTTTTGATTTTCCATTGAATTATATTGTTACAATATAACACGTAATTCGTTAATTCCTTTTATTCTTTGCTCATTTCCTCTTTACTCATCTCTTTGATAATTCCAGACACGAAGTATTCACGGTCACAATCAACCTTCGTCGAAAGAGCTTTCACTTCGAATTGCATTAATAATGTCTTTCCTTGAATATAAAAAGAAAATATGATAAAAAATCAAATACGTTTAATCAAGCTTATTAAAAAACACGCTTATGTAACGTGCTCGAAATAAACTTATATTAAAGTGCAACACTGTGAATTGCTTTAATAGTGTGGATGACTAATGTAAAATCGTATTTATGAACAGAAGATGAATTACTCGATAGAGATAAATTTTGCTGCGCATGACATTGACAAGAAATTTGTCGAATTCATCCAGATAATCCGTTGTTGGAATCGACAGCCTATCATTTATTTGGACATTTCTTTCTCATCGTCACTTTCGTCCATTCTTCGCCAAAAGACGATTCTTTTCCATCTAAACTTCTAACTTTTGTACAAAACTAAAAGTTCAATGATCTCAAAACAAGACAATTCACCCTTGATAGTATCAGATTACACTCATAAATTTTAACAAAGTTTCCTTATTAAAACTCACCAACTTGTTCCTTGGACAAAATAGGAATAAGAAAATTCCATTTTATAATTTTTTTATATTTTTTATATCCATAACAAACGTCTTGCCCTTAAATGAAAAATATAAATCAACTTATACTGTACATATATAGTAATAACTTTAATAATCATCTTAAATACAATTTAAATATATCAGAAATAAATGCTAAATATATCCTATATATATATATATATATATATATAGGATAATAGAAATGTTTATCAATGTATTTTCGCTTATATTAAAGTTAAAAGATGATGAATAATATTTCATGAATTATTCATCATTAATTATATTAAATGTTGGACCTTATTCTGTCAGAACTAACATGCAAAGCCATAAACGGGTGAAATGGGAAGTGGTCCGGGAAATAAGTCAGGCTGATTTAATGAACATAAATGTGCGAGTTAGCATATCGGCAAAGGCTGCGCCCTGCGCATCCGTTTTCCAATGGCCTAAAATCCACGCTTACTCTCTTTGTGTGTCGACGATGAAAATAACCCCATCAACGTAGGAAGAGAAGCTAGGTTTACGGATTAGAAACATGAAAAGGAAGGCAGACTGAAAGAACGATAGTGTTGCTATCAATAAGACCAAGGAAAAGAAATTTATTCGATTGAAATCGGTTCGATCATAGAATCATCTTTTTCATCGTTCCCAATCTTTCTCTAATGGATATTATACGAACTACAGGCATTATATTTTGCCAATAGAAATGGCAATTGAAGAATAACGCTCGTTATTCTTTTTTTAATATATTTAATATATTTAATCAAAAGTGTGTCAGTAATTTCATTTATCTTAAGTTAAAAAAATTTATGATCAATTTCTTACATCAAAAATTAAAATTAATTACGTGAGTAAAATAATTATATCTTTTCATTTTGTTCATTATGTAATTGAATTAGAAGTTCCCTCTTTGATACAAACTTTCCTTTTCAGACACACCGGATTACCTTTGATTTTAAGCACTCAAAACCGTGAAATCGTTGATCATTGACTAAAGCATCAATTTGTACTGAAGTGAGACTAATATACAAGAATTGTGCTTCCAGCATTTTCAAACCGCTGAACTTTTCGTATGTCTTCCAAGTGTCGAGCAAAAACTAAAAAAACTGGCAGATTTGTTCGAATTTGTGTCAACTTTACTTTTTATCGTGGATTATTTTATCGTGCGTAATTTTATTACCCTGAAAAGGATGATAAGATGGCAATAACCACGAGAAACAAAGAGTAATTTCTAAATAGTGATTGTTAATATTAGAAAATTTTAAATAACAATAAAAGTGATATTAAGCAATTTATGAATCACATGAATTGATTGAATTAAATTTTCAAATATATGCTTCATATCATTTATATATATATATATATATATATTTTTTTTAAGTACATATTTTTATTATAATTGTCCTTCTATTCTAATCTTGATAATGTTAGGAAGTAATAGAAATATATAATTTTTGATTCATATGACCACCAGAGGAATTTCTCTAACATTCCTGATTCTAATTCAAGTTGTGATGTCACACATTATGAAAATTGAAGCGAAAGCTTCGCAATAATATTGTTAGTGCGAATGTGACGAGAAATTTATAAAAGAGAATAATGATGAACATGGCATCATTTGATACAAAATTTTATTTGATTGTCAATTATACTTGTCAATCATTAGTTTCATGAACTATAAAGGATTTATCCAAACGAGACTAGAAGAAAAGAAAAAAGTAAAAGTAGGACAGATGACGCCTTCGGGTAGAATTGTTTTCATTTACGATTCAACTTATTTCACGCTCAATTAACGATTACGACTATTAACTCTCTGTATGGAAGTTTTTCATAAACGAATATGTTCTTCTTTAATAAATTTATATGTTAATTATATATTATATATAATTATATATTAAATCTTTTTTAATGAATAATTTCTAATTTTCTTCCCAATATCTTAATAAAAACTAAAATTATGTTTATGAAATTTTTTACAAACTATATAGACATAAGTATAATAATACTTTTTATGTTTAAAAGAAGTTAACTATTGAAATGTTTACATTTTTCTCGTCATGTAACAAAAATACTAGTCGAGAGACTGTCTAACTAGCTGGTGATAATATGATAAATGGACATGTTAGCAAAGTTGAGCGTGTTAACTCCGATTGGATCATTACTGCTTCGAAGCTCAAAAAGAAAAGAGGTTTCGATCCTTCAGGAGATTTTCACGCTCCGTCAGGGAACGCAGACTGTTTAATCAAATTGAACGACGTTTCGTGGGAGATTGTGTAACGCACAGGAAATATTCAGTGAATTCTAATTTTGAGACAGTTGGATAAACGCCCAGTAAATAAATTAAAAAATCTTCATCGATCATTAATTTCATTTCTTCTAAATCGATATCTCATTTTTAAATACAACTATAGAATGTAAAAGTTTCGACAAATAAGATAAATTTTTAATTGCTGAAATAAAATATTTGAAACATATTACTAAATATAAATTTTTATTGAATAATATTTCGACTTAAAATTAGAAACAAGATAAAAGAAAAAGCAAGATAAACTTGAAATCAATGTACATATTAACGAAATTAATTTTATTAAAGAACTTTATTAATAGAAGATAGAAAACTTCAATTATTCGTAAGAAATATAGAATCTAGAACATATATTCTCGAGATCAGTAGGTCACCTATTCTAGACAGCATGATGTCGGCCAGATGAAATCGTAGATCGCTGGTTACCATAACGACCAACGGTTCTCCCTTTATTTTTCTACCTACCCCTAACATTGTGTATAGTATTCCAACTAGATCCCCTAATCTTTCTATTCTGTACGATTACAAGCTGTGCTTCTCCATTCAGAACCTTCAATGTTCTATTTTTTTCGCAGAATTTTCTATCCTGCTTCTGACAATTCATCAATAGATTTCATTTCGATTAAATAACGAGGGAAATGTGAATACCAATTCGATATAATAATATTTCAATCTATATTCACGACCGATTACATTTGCAAAATTAAATAATTCATTTTTAAATTTTGATAAAAAAGATAAAAAGAAAAATAGGATAAAAAATAGTTATATATATATTAAATATTATAATATAATAATATATATTTAAAAATTTTTTCCAGCAGGTAAAAATTTATCTTATTTGTCGAAACTTTTACATTCTATAGTTGTATTTAAGAATGAGATATCGACTTAGAAGAAATTAAATTAATGATCGATGAAAATTTTTTAATATATATTAAATATTATAATATATATATATATATATTAAATTTGGAAAAAAAAATCGTCAGCAGTTAAAAAGCAAAAATGAAAAAAAATCGTCTCATAGCCTTGGCTTAATACGTTTTAGAGAAGGTCACATTATCATGATATAAATTTTTGCTGTAACAATCATCGTTGCTGTATAAGGAAATAGCATGATACTTTTACGCAATAAGCAAACAGACGAACATGAATGTTACTTGGTAAAATAATATGTGTAAGACTATTTGCAGAAACATTTTTCTACGATTAGGAATATTATGGTCACATAGAAAAACGATTTGAAGATCGAGGTAGCCAAGACCTTGAAGACAAAAATCGACTATTTATATATTATATAAATATTATATATTATATATTATATATTATATATTATATTATTATAGATTATTTAAAAGAATCTATCTATCTTACACGTAATGAATCTTGTCTTAAACGATACTTTACATTTCTTGCGCAACTTCCTTCATTTTATAATCACATACAATCGTATTGAATAAATTCTAATAATCCTTTCTTCCTTCCAATTGATTTGTTTTTATTTGTGAAATGGATGATGATTTAAAAACATTTTTATGATCTAATGGAAAATTATAGGTTTATAGAGAATTCAGTGAATCGACAAGAAACTTTCATTTTTTATCATAGACTGCATCAATGCACCTTGAAAATATGTCTGTTAAAACAACAAGTTATTAAAATTAATTACAAAATAATGGAAAGTGTGTAACGACTTGGTTTCAATATAAAAAAGAACAATAATTATTTACTTGTCATACTGTATTTATGAATAGAAATTTCTCCACGGAGAAAATTTATTATTTTACTAAATATACTCTGTCAGAGAGCACGAACAAACATATTGCATAATAGATTTTCATTTTACTACAAGAAAATTCCCGTAATGAGTAATCTTTTAATAAAAATTAGAAAATCAATGCAATCTAATTTAATATATTAATAATGATAAAGAAATATTGTGCGATCTATACGATCTCTTGTGATCCTAATCTTTGATTTAAATATTCAACATAATTTTCACCAATAAAATAATTTTCAAATAAAAATTATAATTCAATGCGATAATATGCATGTAAAAAAATTTAAAATCCAAATTATTTTTAATTAATTTCAAAATCATTTTGAAATTTTCTTAAATGCTGTATTATTTTTAATTTTTTATTTTATTTTTTATTTTAATATAATAGTAAATATTTAAATAATTTTAATTACCTTTATAGATTTAATTATCTATGTATTAAATTCAGACATGAAATTCAATTATTAAAACAATACATTATATTTTATTATAATATATTATATTATATTTTATTATAATAATTATATTTATTATAATATTTTTTTTATCAGAAAAAAATTAATTTTTTATTATATTATTAATCAAAAATAAATAAAATACTAATGAACATTTTAATATTATTATATATATGTGATAAACTAAGAAAAATTAATATTAAAAATATTTTCAATAAAAATTATTTTTAATATTTTCAATAAAAATTATCACATGTAAAACATATTGTGCACTATACAAAAAAATAAATTTATAAGTAAGTATAATTTCTCTAATATTGAAAAATTAATTTGTTAAACATTATTAACTTAAATTGAATTATTATTAAATTGAATTTACAATTATTCATTTTTTTATTTATTATAACTTTTTAAAAAGTATTTATTTCAATTTGTAATAATAATCTCTTAATTAACAATGTTCCTTTTTTAATTTTTAGTTATTTAAAGATATTTAAATAAAATATCTATATAAGATTTAAATATCCAAAAATTTAAATATTTTTAGCAAATTTATATGTTTAAATGTAATATATGTTTAAATGATATACATGATAAATAATGAACGAATACATGAATTGTAAATGAATATGCTTAAATAATTAAGACATGCGAGATCTTAGAAATAAAAAATCATTGATAAAATAATTTATCGATTCAGATTGTCAAGATATATAACATATAAAATAGTTTATTAAAAGAAATAAATAATAATGTAAAAAATATTTAAGAAAAAAAAATGTTAAAATTTATGATATATAATATATAATAATATGTAAATATTAAAATTTTTTATACATTCAAAAAGAAAGAAAGAACATTAAACAGAACAAAGCTTCATCTTAAATTAAAATTATCGCAAATATTTTAAATTTTTTTTCCATGTGAAAAAATATTTACAAAATAAAGAAATTTCATTCCTTAAAGAAATAATAATGTAAATATATAACCAAATATAAACAATTTATATATCTTCTTAAGAAAGAATTTTTTCTAATGATTTTCTACTAGAGAAAAAATATAAATATTATTCTTAATTAATCAATTTATTTTTATTTACTAAATATAATATATTTTTGTTATATTATTATAATTATATATTGGTTTAAAATAATATAATTTAATATATTTAATATATTTGGTTTATTGAATGGAAAATTTCATAGTTGATTTATGAAAATGAAATGCATATAAAAAAAAAATATAGAGAATTTATTTTTATGATATAACGTTGGTTATTCTGTACCTAACCTAATGCTATACATAGTACGATATCTTGCAACCAAGAAATTAGGTTAGGACTGAAAAATTATTATTGCGTTTCAGAATTTATTCGTAATTGTTAACACATAGTACAATTTATTACACATAATAGATAATACTATATCAATCAAATATTAAAATGTTGCGAATTGGTTTGAGAATTATGCGCACTGCTATAGGAAGCAGAGCTTTTGCAAATGCACCGGCTCAAGAACAAGCAATCTCAACAACTTTCAAAGTTCAAGATCCAAAAGACTTTAATAATCGTGTTAAAAATTCTAAAGTGCCAGTGATCGTTGATTTTTTCGCAACGTACGTATATACTTTAATTATCGAACAATCACTTTAAATGCATTATAAATAATTTATCTTGTAGATGGTGCAATCCTTGTCGCATGCTTACTCCTCGCATAGAATCTGTAATTGCGGAAAAACAAGGAAAAGTTTTATTGGCAAAAGTTGATATTGATGAGAATAGTGATCTTGCATTGGATTATGAGGTTATTTTTTATTTTTAATTAAAATTACTATTTATTCTATATTTTTTATTTTAAAATAATAAAAGTTAATTTTATATAGGTTGGATCTGTTCCAGTCTTAATTGCAATGAAAGACGGAAAGGTTTTAGATAGAATTGTTGGTCTTCAGGATGTAGATAAACTTAAACAATTTGTAGATAAGTATTCAGAATAATGTAATCTATTTTAATTGTAATTTTTTTATGAAATGATTTGTAGTTATTGGGATATTTGTATAATATTATATGGTAAAAAATGTACAATGCAATATATAAGTTTTTAATTATAACATATATCTCTTATTTTTATAGATTTCATATACATAGGAAATTGTTAAATAAATTATTTTTCATGTAATAGTCAGATAAATTTAATTATTTAAATATTTACAAAAATTTAATACATGTATTTCATTAATGAAAAAAACAATGTTGAATAATATATAAAAAGAATATTCAATTTCAATAAAAATTATCAAATAATTGATAATTTTTAAATACAATTTTAGATTATGTTTCAGTAGGCAAAGCTTGTAGAAGTCTTCTTGCTCTCTGATAAACAACAGATTCCTTATTTTTATTTTCTTCATTTTCTTCTACTTTCCTTATAACATCCATACCTTTTTTTAAAAGTTGTTCTCTAGCCATACCTTTACATCCTTCAAAATATTCTAAAACTGTTGGGAAAATGTCATTTGGTATAGAAATTTCATCTAACAAATTCTCAATTAACCAAATTTGTCTTAATTTTTCAAATTTCCATTCAGTTCTTGCATATTTCCACTGTAAATAAAGTTATAAAAAAAATATATAATTCTATATATAATATTAAAAATATTAATTATCTTAAAAATAACATCATTGAAAAATATAAGTACCTTTGAAACATAATTAAGTCCTTTTTTCATTGCTTCTGTTTTATTGGCCATTCTTTTTTCATTCTCTTTTTTCTCAGCCTTTTCTCTTTTCATCTGTCTCTTAGAAGGTTGTTTTGGAGTTTTTACATTACATTTATGAAGTTCTTCTATGTTATTTATATCATTTATTACATGTATACTATGAACAAAAATACTTTTAATTTAATATTTAAAACAATTAAAATAATAATGTAAATGTGAAATCATATACTTTGCTTTCTTCTTTGGTGGTATTATCTTATTATTTATTTCTTCTTCATCTTGATTTTCACTCATTTTAATAGAATTATCCTTTTTTGTTTCAATTACTTTTGTTTCTTTAATTACTTCATTATTATTATTAATGGTATTTGATCTTTTTCTTTTTCCCTTTTGTTTTTTATGTTTTACTGCCTGGTTATTCATTTCTTCCTTTTGATTAGTATCATATTCTGAGATATCAATATTATTTGTTTCAGTTGTAATTTCTATAAATAATGAATTAAAAATTAATGAATTTTATTTTATAAAAAATTTTGAATTAAATTTGTATCATCTTAAACCATATGTAAAATTATAACACTATAAAATTTAAATAAGATTTATTAATTATTTACCTTCTGATTTATTTATTTTCTTCGTTCGTTTTTGTAATTTTGAACTCTTAACCTCTAATTTTGATGTACTATCGATCCCCATGATATTATATAAATCAATAATATTTTTTATATATGAATATAATTCTGAATTTATAGTGCTGTAACATTTAGTATATTTGTAGTATTAATATCTTTCTTTAATATTGACTAAAAACTAAATAATATAATATAACTGCGTTCGAACTTAGTATCGCAATATCGTACTCTTATTCATACAAAGTATTACGCAGCATAGAATAATATAAGAATATCAAAAAGAATTATAAAAATTTCAATATCTGAAATTTGTCCTTTACAAACATAAATTTAATAAAAAAAAAAAATAGTAATAAATATTTATATGACAGTTGATAAAAATAATATTTGAATCTTCTTTCTAGAAATTAAAACTGAATAATTTTTAATATTTGTAGAAAATGATGCGCATAAAATGGATTGAAAATATCTTAGAACTCAAGAGCAAAAGAACATTATTAGAAAAAAGGTATATTTTTAATTACATAATGTGTTTTTTATTCATACTCATTCTTAAATTATTATAGAAGGTTAGAAAAAGTTAGGAAATAAAAAAACTATTTCTTTATCTTATTCTTTATCTTCTTCTTATTTCATTTACTTCAATGTTTATTATATTATTATTAACTTGCATTAACTTATATTTATTTTGAAATTTTGATAAAAAAATTGCTATATTATTTTAGATATGTTTTTCCTCAAATATATTCTACCTTAAGATATAGTATCACTTCAAAGAAGAATGAAATAATTAAAAATGAAAATGATTATGAAGATGATGATATTAAAGCAAGAAAGCCTATAAAATATTCAACATCTAAAGCATCAAAATTTTTTTCTGGAAATACATCAAAAGATATTCCAGAACATCAAGATACAGTTGTAATAACATGTTTTGGTATCTTTTTATTGTATTTTTGTGTTCTGAGAGAAGAAAATGATATTGATGAAGCTATGGTAAAGAATATACCACCAGAAATTTTTAAACAAATATATGGAAAAGAAAAGGAATAAAGGAATGTAAAATAAATTTTTGAAATTAGAAAATAGAAATGAAATAGATCATTTATATTTCATAATTTATATTTCATAATATAAAATGTATTTTCCCAATTAAATAGAACTTTAAATAAATAATTAAAATTCATTTATTATAATGGATATAGTAATTCACCCCATATTATGTTATTTATTATCTTATTCCATTCTATAGGTGGATGATAAATAATTGTATCTGGTATACATTTATTCCATGTATAATTCCATGATGCTACTACCAATGTCATTATTAATATTATTGGTCTTTCAGTTTTATGTGAATATATTTTAATATTAACAGTACCTAAAACATAATCATATGATACATAGATAATTCAATAATAAATTAATAATAAATTTACTTACTGCATGTACTATAAGAGTGGAATAACCATTTGAAAAAAGCATATACAGGCATAACTTGAAGATAAAATTTCATTCTTGTTAATAAACCTCCAAAACTAATTAATGCTAATCTTAACTATAAAATAAATTTATTAATTATTGAAAAATTATAATTATTGAATATAATAAAATATATAATTATATATAATATATAATATTATATATAATTATATATAATTATAATATAATATTCAATAATATAATTATTGAATATAATAAAAATTGAAATAATTATTGTATACCATTGTAAAAACTACATAATAAACCCAAGTTGTTGGCATCAGAAACAATAAAATAGTAAATAATAAAGTTCCTACAAAAAGTTGATCAGGTTGATATTGACAAGAATCAATTCTTTTTCTTAATGGATTCTTCTTTTTACCCAAAAATAATCGAAACAAAGCAGTAATACCTTTTAATTGAATATTGAAAAGTCTAAATAAAAAATTAAGTTATTATACAAATTATTATTTTATATATATATATATATACTATTATTATTATAATACTATATTTTTGCAATATATAACTTATTTTGTAGTACCTTGCTGCATATACATAAATACAATATGCATGAAAACTGACAACTGCCAGAAGATCAGCTGCTATTGCTATTTGAAACGTAATACCAAGTCTTCCAAACAGTACTAATACTTCAAATGTGAAATCCATTACAGGTTTCATAAATATTAAAAATGTCCACCACATATGTATGTGATATAAAAAAAATTTTCCAAGCATATTATTTAAAGCATGATTTAGTTTTAAACCAGCTGGTACACCCATTAACCAATTAATTAAATCTTTTAAGAAGGTTACTACTTTCTGTAAAATATTTGCGTAAAATATTACATTCATCATCAATTTAATATTATTTTTAGTGTAGATTTCTAATTTACCTCTGCATTATTCAAAAGTATCTGAGAAGGAGAAGTATATTCAAAGTAATATAACAATAATTGTAATATAGAGATTCCCAACAACATATCTATTATCAGTGCAAAAACATAGTTACCAGTCTTCAATGTGAACTTTTTGTTTTTTATTATAGTAATCAACATCCATTTTGCATTTTCTAACCATCCATTAACATGTAAACCAAGAAAAGAATATCTTAAAATTGGTAATAATTTATTAGTTATTTTATTAAGAAAAAGAATTGGATAAAAATATAAGAACATATGATATACAAATATTATTTCTTTTATATAACTATATTTTCCTTTCTTCTGTATTTCTCTTTCAACTTGTTTGTCTTGTATAATTTTCATTAACTCATAAAAGTGATCTCCATATATTGCTCTTTGAGTAAATAATTCTGTTTCTTTAAAAACTAATTGATCATATATTATAATAACTATATGATAATGTAAAATAGAAATTTTTTTATTATTTACAATAATACTTTTTAGAATGTAATCGTAAATATTGTTTTTAGAAGATATAGGATTCAAACATATATTAAGCCAATCTAAATATTTTTTATCCATATGTTCTTGTTTGTCTTCTGTACCAGAATAATATCCAATTATATTGGCATATTTCATTGTTTCAAAATTATTTATTTTACATACTCCAATGATATAAAATTTTTTAACTTCCGTACTATCATCATATATTACTTTACCAAAAATGTATCCAGCTTTTTCTTTATAAAATGTGTTTGGTAAAAATATTAATAGACTTTTCATCATAGCATTTAGCTTTTTCACTAATTATAAGTTATATATTGTTCAATAAAATAAAAAAAGAAATACTTTTCATGAAATCATATTAACACACATCAAAAATTATTTGTAATTTTTTAAATTTTTATCTATATTTTATCTATATATTTTCAGTTGATTTTTTTTCATAATAGTTGAAATTAATGCTTCAAATAAAAGATATCATAAAATATTATTTCTAATTCCCTTCTTTCAACTATATAAATATATCGATGTTAGTCTTTCAAATCATGTATTGATGATATGTTGACAAGCAGTCAGCTGTTTCCGGTTTGCAAAAATACAGGTGACTCGATAGAAATCTGTGAAAATCCCGGCTAATTAATTTTAATTAAATAAGCGATAGTGGACAGACAGCATCGAAGTAAATAACGAGTGTGTGACGAAGCTTTAATGTACGGTATTTTTCTCTCTTTAATTTTATTTTCGTTTAACGGATAATGTTGAAGGAAGAGCTTGAATCAAGCACGAGAAATGGTGATAACTCGCACACGACTACACCGGACTCAGGAAGTAACGACGTGGCCAAAGAGTCGTATCAGAAGATTGCGATAGAAGAAAGATTGGCAAGCAAAATGTTTTCATACGCTAGAAAAATCATTCGATTTTTTCTTGCGATTATCTTTACGACTCTAGCTGCTCTACATAGTTCGTAAGTTTTAGGTTATAGCAACTTTTAAATATAAAATTTATTAATATCGAATATGATATTATTTTTTCATTATAACACGATTTTTTGATATTATAACAGGTGTTCCATAATTTAAAAATACAGTTTTATAAATAAAAATAAATTGTATTTATTTTTAACTAATAAAATATTGTATGCATTATTATTACATGTATTTTATATACAACCATTATTTTGTTGCAGTTCTCCCAAAGTATCAAAACCTCCATTAGCTAAACCATTTTTTAATCAAAGCTCAGTTGTCTTAGATTTTTATAAAGGACATTTAGGAGCTATGATAGAAAGAGTTACAGAAGCAGATTTCAGTTTTGTTATGTATTATGCTCCATGGGATGCTGAAAGTCAAACTATACGACAAGAATTTGAAATGGTTGCTCAATATTATCATTCACAGGTATTAAATACAATTAAATCTATAATTGCTTGTTAGATTATAGAATATTTTATATTAGATAATGAAATTATTCTGTAAAATGTAATATCTTTATTAATTTGTAGATTTTTTTTGCTGCCATTAATTGTTGGCATCCAAGCTCAGAATGTAGAACTCAATATAATAAAATACAAAGTTATCCAGTATTAATGCTTTATCCTTCAAGAGATTCTGGTATAGAATATAGAGGTATACGTACATGGCCATACATGATAAAATTTCTTAATACAATTATGAATCCCATTGTTAGAGTAACAAATAAAGAACAATTAATGAATTTACGTGTTAACTATGATGTAAGTATAAATAAATAATTTATATTTTGAATTGCAGGATAAATTTTTATTTATATAGAATAGAATTATTTGTTATGATTACAGGCTGTAGTAGTAGGATATTTTAATTTTACTCGATTAGATAAAACTCCAGGTTATAAAGAATTTTATAAAGCTGCTCTACGAACATTAGAAGAGGATCCTAATAGAGAACTGGTTTTTGCCATTGTTACTAATGCATTATCTAGTGAAATAGATTATAACATTTATAAATTTCCATCTGCAAATCTATTTATGTGGAGTGATTCTTTAGTAAGTAAATGAGAAAAATTTTTATATTTGTATAATGGTAAACATATTGGATACATAAAGCAAAAACATTTGCATATATAGCACAATTAAATGAGTTTGAGAATTCAAATGTGTAGAGGTATCCAGAAGATTCTGAATGGACTTCCGAAAACATATTAAATTGGATAAGCAGTTCTATTCATCAACCAGTTCTGTGGCTGCAACCTCCTGGAGTAAAAGCACTAACATTAGCACCATATTTGAGAGAAGGACCTGTACTTTTTCTCTTCACACCTCGTAATCCTTTGCATCCTGAAAATTATAATTACAATCTGGTGCGTAAAATTTCAAAGCCAATTGTGGAATTTGAAAGATATGAAATAAGAATTACATTGATTCTCTAGATCAGAGAAATTGGACTGCAGTATTATAATTGTGCAGATAATGTCTTAGCTAAAGAGATAATTGAGCGTCTTAGTTTTAAACGACGTATTGCTATTGCAAAACATTTGGAGCAAAATAAACAATGTGCAAAATATTTGAAGGAAATGAAAAATCAAACAAATGAATCCACTAACAATATTTCGATTCAAAAATGGATTAATGATAGTTGTTGTGTTAATGTCGTAATGAATAAATGTTTTTTGTGTAAAAAGAATATATTAGATAATGCAGAAATGGAAACATCTATTTGTAAACTTAATTCTAAAAAACTTGATCATGTTTGCAAAAGTTCAGATATTTTTAAACTTTTAGTTATACAAAATTTACAACAGAAACGTGAAATTTGTTGTAATCAAGATCATATGACAATAAAATATGAAGAAAGATTTAAAACCAAAAGGTAGTTTTATTGAAATTTTTATTAAAATTATTTTTTGATTAATATTGATTAATATTTGATTATTATATTTATTTTTGTAGTCAAAAATACAAAATATCGGCATTTATTACAAAAGAAGAGGACGTACAATCTGCGGATGCAATAAAAGAAGCACGCTTAAAATTCAACTGTAAAAAATGGATAACTGGAAACAAATATCATCAACCTATATTTCCGCGAGATAAACTTGAACATCCGAATATAAATTTAACGAAATCAGTATGTAAAACTAACAAAACGTTGACACTAATAGCAATTGATAGTTTACATTATTATTATTTCGCGGAAGCTCTTGGCATAGATCTTTTAAAAAAGAAGGATAAAACTGCTATTGTTATATTAGATGTTGCTGTAAGTATTTGAATATATTTTTATATTAGATATATTATTAATTCTTAAATATATTAATTCAAATTTTTTTCTTTTAGCATGAAAGTCAATATGTTATGCAGGAGGATTTTAGTCGATATACACTTATACAATTTATAAATAATTATACTCAAGGTTTTTTACAACGTACATTACGTTCTAATAATTCGAGACGTTTTGTTCAAAAGTTTAAGACCAAAGTTAATTGTAAAACAAAAGATGCACAAAATGTGTGCATACCAGAATTAACAACTGAAACTTTTCTTAATACTATTTTAGATTCAACAAAGGTAAATTGGAAAGAAAGATACAAATTTATTATGAAGAAATTTATTATAAAGAATAATATTGTAACTTGATTTTTCAGGATGTGGTTGTAATGTACCATTCTCCTTATTGTGCATTTTGTAGTGCAATATTTTATGTATACTTGACAGTAGCTCATTATTTACATAAAATGGATCATCTTTTATTCGTAAGGGTAGATGGTGATAATAATGATTTACCATGGGAATATAACATGAATCGATTCCCGTCTATTCTTTTCTTTCCTGCTAAAAGGTAATTATAATTGTTATAATATTCATAATTGTATTCCATAACAGTTTTCTTATCTTATTCATTTTAGAAAAGAGGATAGTACGGTATATCCGTTTTCTCTGCCAATTACTATTCCGAATCTTATAAATTTTATCTTAGCGAATTTGGACGGAGATTCGCATATTGAAGCGCTTATAAATATTTGTCAATCTGGAGCCGCTGGTGTAATTCCAGATGCATGTATCGCTCGAACTCGTTGGCTGTGTTTAGATATTATTCAACAACTACTTCGAGATTATCGAAAATTAATAAGGCATATTAGTCTATTAGGAAGAATAAGTGCTAGAAATAAAAAAAAAATTATTTTACTAAAATTGGCACACATTAAAGATATACATTTAATATTAGGTTCTACTATTGATCTCAAAGAGGAGCAACATAAAGTAAAATTAATTAGAAAAAAATATAGAAAATATTATAAAAATATTAGATCATTTGAATTAGATAGCAAAATAAATAGTAATAATAGTCAAGTAGAAAATCTTTTTCAAGAACAAAATGTTTTTGAAAAAAATATTAAAAACGAATTGTGATATCAATTTACAGATAGATATATTATAATGAATATTATGTTATTTAAATTCTTTTATGACATTGTACTAAATGTACAATACATACCTCAGAAATCATTTTATTTCACAAATGTAAAATATATTCAGTTGAATTATATATATCATATATAAATAAGCATCATAATTTATAAAGAAATATTCTGTAATATATACTTACAAAAATAACTCAAAAATATTTAAATGACTTTAATACAAGACATTCCCCATTAAATGGTGCAAAAAATTATAACATCATATACAATTTTTATCATATTCTTGTAAAAAATGTACATTTATAATTTTTTATTTAAATTTTTATAACAATTTTGCAAGAAAAAAATATTTATATGTACTATTCAAGTAAAGATAGTAAGTCATTGATATAATTATTTTTTTTCAATACATCATGGTTCTATAGAGGGAGTGTATATACATTAGAATTACTCATCTTTAATTAATATTCATGATGTTTAATACCGCAACTGAGAAATAAAAGTAATACTACTAGAAATATAAAAAAAAAAAAAAAANAAAAAAAAAAAAAAAAAAAAAAAAAAAAAGAAATGATACATGCTGCAAACTTTATTTTTAAAATTTATTTTTTAAATTATAAGATTTAGAAAAAATTAAATTAAGTTTTAGCTCTCTAAAGTATATGTTTGTGAAAAAGAGAGAGAGAAAGAAAGAGATAATTTAATTCTTCATCTGATATGTGATTTGCTCATACATTTAGCAAAAATGTGTGTTGTACATTCGTGTAAATATTGTTATATGCAATAATAATAAAAATATATGTTGATATATATATAAAGATATAAATTAATTAAAAAAAATAGAAAAATTACAATTGTTTTTTTAAAATTATAATCCTTTAGAAAATTTCATTATATTTTTACATTATATTTATCAAAATGAATTCGTAACGTAAAACTTAGAATCTATTGATTGCCGTATCACAACCTTATATGTATGAAGATCGGATTAGAGATGTGATAAAATAGCGTGGGCCGAAAGTGGTCGATGGATCGCGTAATCTTGCGTTAGTCATTCTCCTCGTTTGTCTGATTTATTTATGGGTTGGGCTACTTATTCGATGTAATGAAATTCCTAGTAAAATGACACGTGATAAGAAACTTGTTTCTTCTATCGATTTAATTACTGATCTTTGATCAATGACAGTGTATGGCATTGAAAGAATTGTCAATTATTTCCACCATGAAAATAATGATAAATAAAGTAATCTAACTTTGATTAAATTTTTTACTAATGATGTAATCTTTTTTGAAAATTAATTTTTGAATTCTTTATAAAAAAAAAAAAACAAGAAGATAAATATATAAATATTATATTATAATAATTTTATTAGATTATTTATCATTTTTAGTCTTGATTATAACCATTATTATTTATGTTATTATTATATATTTATATATTATATATTTCTTAAAAATTTACAATCTTACAATACAATTTTTTACAAAAACAAAAAAAATATTTGTTAAGGTAAATAGGTATAAAAAAGGTAAAAACAATCTAAAAATTGGAATGAATATCAATTGTTAGGATAAAAGAAGTTAAAATAATGCCAAAAAAATAATAGAATTAATGAATTATATAATGTAAACAATAATAATTATATATATATTGAAATTATTCTTTATATATTATTATATATTTCAAAAAATTTAAATTATAAACTGCCATATAAAAATCAGGTGATCAAATGAAAAAAGGCAGGAGATGGCGTAGCATTTGATTGTGAACCTGATTCTTCACTAATCTTGAAGATAGAAATGATTGTCAACGCCTCCTAGTGAGCAGGATTGTAAAAAGGAAGTTGAAGAAACATTTATTTCTTTATAGTCTCCATTCTATATACAAGTATAACTGTATGACCGTGTGTACTGTGCCGCTGACAATGAGCCGCGGCGGTGACTGTGATAAGTGATCGCGTACCCTTCCTCGTCGCTAAACGCGTAGTGGCAGTGGAGAAAGATAGTACGTCGACCAAGAAAAGAGTCTACCTCTTGATGACTCGCGCTTTACGCAAGGCGCAACGTAGCCGGAGCTCACAATTATGTTCGATGTACCGCCCAAGTTCTACGAGCTGTGTCGCCTTTGTTTATCGTCGGACGGTGTCAAATTGTCCATATTCGAAGAGGAAGGCGCCCAGCGAAATTTCGCCGATAAGATATTAACGTGCCTCTCGATTACGGTGAGTCTCGTCAGGAGTTTTCACCGGGTCCTCGTGCCGAGACGAAGATAAATCAGACGCGACCATCTGTGGTTCTCTGAATGTGAATGTGTCTCCCTCTCTTTTACACGCAATCCTATCTCTCTTTCTTCGTCTCGCTTTCGTTTGTCTCTGTCTATATCATCTTCTATCTCTATTTCTCTTACTATCTCAAGGGTGCGTGTGTGTGTGCGCGTGCCACGGGAGAAAGTTTGGCAAGAGATGTGTCCGCGAGATAAGCCGACTCACGGGGGATTTAAAATGGCAGTGATAAGCTGTACTCCTCGCTTGTACAGACCTCACGGAGAGGGGAGCAGCTCCTTATTTAGACGGCCTGTTATCAGGTTTCACACGCGGATTCCACGAGTCGCTGTCACATTTGACTATATTCTATATATTTCTCTTTTCTCTTCATAATTTATTATTTGTTCTCATAGACGGCATACTCTCTTCTTTGAAAGAAAGCTCTGCTTCCGTCCAACCTACTTAAAAAAATTATTCATTTTTAATATTATTTATCTCAAATTTTTATTTTAAGATATTAGAATGAATTTTGCATTTCTCTATTTTTCTTATTTGCATTATAAAAAACTCTATCTTTATTTTAATAGTAGAAATCAAGTTTAAATAATTGATAAGAAAATATAATTTAACATATAGTAATAACATTGCATTTTATTGTCAATGTTATCAGTCTTGTTTAAAAAATATCTATAATAATAAATAAATATAATATAAAGTTATTCAATAAAATTAATATTATAAGTATAAAAAATTATGTATTAAGTAATTGAAAATACAATGATGTAATTACATTTTATTCAGGTAAAAGATGGAGATTCTTTACCACCAATCATTTGTCACCGATGTGTGTATAAATTGGATGTACTGCACAACTTCCGTGAAGTGTCACACAAATCTGATGTCATACTCAAACAGTACCTGGATTATGCCAAGCAGTTATCATCACATGATGATCAGGTAATCATTAAATATTTTTTTCAAATGCAATGAAAAAAGATATATTAGAATTTGTTGACGTAGGTCATCATACAATATGAATCATATCATTTTCTGGTTAAAGAGCTAGAATTAATTTAACACAGTAACATCAATGAGCAGTCATTTCATTCTAAGTAATGATGCAATTGAAAATGTGCAACATGTGATTGTAGATAAGAATGTGCTTCAATACATGCCTATTCCATATATTCTAAACACATGTTTAATACATACAGGATGATATTTATTTGCTTCTCTGCCCTGATATATCAGTAATTATATAAGATACTTCAAGGTTTCTTTTAATGCAGCCAACTTTGACCTTATCAATTTGATAATGATTACAGAATAGAAAAAAAATGCGCATAACTAATTATTTTCTTATGAATATATTCTAAACAGGTACAAGGTACAAATATCAAAATATTATATATAATCTTTTATGATAAATGAACATTTATACAAATATCAATAAATGTTTATTTATTAGAAATTTAATAAAAATTAAATTTAAATGTAATTTTTTTTTCTATTATGTTATTAATTTATGCTTATTTTCAAAAATTTTATATTTTTTATTTTAAACTTACAATGATTTGTTTTGTTTTAGAAAAAATCTTTCTCCACTGCCAAAGTAGCAGGATTAAGTCCGCTACAGTCATTTCTCCAATTGAACAAAACATTGTTCAATGAGGAGCCTAACTCTCCGGCCAGCATTAATCAAAACGTTATACCTCAGACTCAAACACATCATTTGGAATTGTGCACCAATGACATGCCTGAGCATGATAACATTAAGTGTGAACCAGAAGATGATACATGTTCAAATAGTTCTGATCCAGATAGATTAGAAATAGAAGATCGGGATGAGCAAGATACTGAGGGGGAAGAAAATGGTTATGATATGACCATTAATAAGAGAATGAAAGTAGAAACAAATTATGAGGAATCAAAAACAAGTACCCCCAATCGTAGTCCAGTGAATAGAATGGATACACCAGAAAGCAATTGTTCAGATACAAATATTGATCAGGAAACAACAAAATTATGGCAAGCATTAGCAAAGTAAGTACAAAATTTTCTATATATTTCTTTTGCATTTAAAAATTTTACAAAGAAAATTTATTAAATATAATATTAATAAAGTAAATAGTTATTAATAGTCATATATAATTGTTCTTCTATTTGTATTTATTTATACAATTTCAATCTTTAAATAGATTTTTATTGTTAATTTATATTATTTTTTTATAAAATTAGTCAAATGATTAGTGATATAATTTTATTTGTTTAATACATATAAAGCAAATTTTTTAATTATTAAAAGAATTTGTTTGTAACAAATCATTTCTTCTAAAGATAACAGTTACTTTAAAGATAACAGTATATTTGATTAATTATTAGATTGCTTTTTGTATTTTTATTATTATATGTATATTATTTGAATATAATGTTTGTTTTCATTTTTCATGTAGCAATAGGAGTTTAGAGATTACCAGGACAAATGGTGACAAATTAAATAATGGATTCACTGGCGAGGCAACTAATTTGTTGCGTTCTTTAATCAACAATAGGCAAATTGGTATTACTGCAATTGATTCTGACAGAATATCACCACAAATTAGGTTTTACAGAGATACTCAAGGAACAACAATTGAACGCACTATACCCGACTGTTCTCTACTCGGCAACCGTACTAATGTGTCGTGTATAGAAAATAAGGTTTGTATATTTTAAAATAATATTTAAATTGAAATCTTTATCAGTATTTGATAAGATGAGGGCGTTTTAAAATATCATTAGGAATTTTTCTGAATTCCCCTTTAAGATTTTCTAAATGTATTTGAGATAAATCACAATTGAATATTAATAAAATATATAATGTTAATATAGAAACAGTAGTAAAAGTTGACTCTTTTTTCGAAGTTGTATCTTCCAAACAAAATTCTGAGATTTATGGAAAAACGGAAAATCTGTACTCTCTTTTATGTTCATACTCCTTTGACCCTGATCTTCGTGCAAATAAAAGTTCTTCCATGGAAAGTCCTTGCAGTTTGTTCAAAGCAAATACCAGAAAAGAACTGCAGGTATAGAAAAGAAGACAGGTCAGGTGACCCTTAGGTGTCAAGGGATCCCTTTGGGACTATTCAAGTCCCATCTGCTTGCAGGTAAGAGAAACGTGGTAGGCCTTGTAGATAATAGATAACTGAGAAGTTCTTTGTGATAGCTATAAGCATTAAGTCCACCATGTCAACCCGCTGTTAACAGATGTTCAGATAAGTTAGGTTTCTATAGATTTTTAAACGCGTATTGTTCCGTGTGAGGAATTCTCCAATTTCTTCTATAATAAAAAATAAGATTTTACTATTCTTTATACTATTTTTTATTCTGTTAGCTTTTTGTCTTAATAATAGGTATTTACGAAGAATTAGCTCTTCAACAAACTATTTGTTTTCTAAAAGAATTTTTAGCTATTAATATTTTTTGTAATTGAATAAAAATCACTGTTGAAATAATTACAGAATGAATTTAAATGTAACAATAATAAAGATACAATTTTTTAAATTATTTAGGGTACGTCTGTGGACAGTAATCCGTCTAGCCCTGCCAGTGTTGGTCGAAAGGAAACTAAGGGTCGTAGAAAACAAAGTTATCCTAGCAAAGCTCCCATGAGTCCAGATGTCGTTAATTATCAACATGAATCTAATGAAGAACAAGCACAAGATTTTACAACATGGTCAAATAAAATGAAGGGGAAGGTACGATCGGTGTTACGAAACCTATGACGTCAAAATAAAACGTTACGTTTGATTTTGCCATCATAGGTAGAGGACCAAAAACAACAATTTGATCAACATAGTGGTAACATAGCGAAAAAGGTTGATATGTCTTGCACAAATTGCGGCACTATGACTACAACTATTTGGAGAAGAAATATGAAAGGAGAAATGGTTTGTAATGCTTGCGGACTTTATTACAAACTTCATGGAGTAAATCGTCCAGTTACCATGCGAAGGGATACGATACACACGCGTAGACGTAGACCTAAAGGTGAAAAACCAACAAGGCATAGAAGTAAGTGCTCATAATTTAAAAAACATTTAAATATTTTGATTTTTGTTATTTTTACATCATAAAATTAAAATAATTTTTTTTTTTTAGAAAAAGGTGATTCAATTTTGGTACCACAATCGGAACAGATGGATGCAGAAAGTGCAGACATGTTAGCAGCCCTTCGGCGACAAATTCAGCCTCATTTAATGATGGCAGCCTTAACACCACCACGTATACCTGGTGCTCATCCACCAGCTCCTACCGCTCAACTTAATTATTCTCTTCCTTTACCTAGTTACATGATGCATGTAAGTAAATAGTTTAACAATGTTAATTGATGTTATCTTGTTATTATGAATCTGTAAATAATAACTTTTAATATTCATATATAATAGCATGTGAAAGCAGAAGGACGAGAACAATGTCATTTATCTACGGACATAGAAGAAACAGAAGAAGGAGATGCAGAGAACGTCTCGGATGTACCATTAAACTTAGTTGCGACGTCATTATCCGAAGAAGCACACTGAAATCATTTTGACCAGCTTTAGAACGACGTTGCTATAGGTATATATATACATATATATATATATATATATATACATAACAAAGAATCTCTAGACAGAATAGTCTGTCCGGTGATACACAGGGTGTAAAAGACGAGATTATTCTCCTTCTTTTTTCTGCCTCTGTCGTCCATGATCCTCTTTTTGGACTCTCCTTTTTTCTCTTTTTCTCTTTTCCACGGTCTTGAGAATTTTGAGATGGTAGAATATTGGGATGTGTATTTATCCCTTGAGCTACCAAGCCCGTGGTGCAGAGCGCACGAAGGAACGATGATATTAAATACGCAGTATTAATTACGTGGTTATTCAAAATATGTACATATATATACACGAATACGAAGAATATTTTTATACAAAATTTTCTACGCTTGCAGCTATAGAGAGCGACGGGCGATCGTTGTACATACACGCGCAAATTGTTCTTTCGGTGTCGCACGTATTTTACGCATTAAAAGGAATGGTGGTCGTTGTCTGTTTTCTTAGTGATGTAAGAAAGTCAATCACCAGTGAAAGTTTTTAGAACGGTGCTAGATTACTGTTCGGAAAGGCTTAGAAATAAAGAAGAAACAAAAAAAAAAAAAATGATTTGTCACTAAAAGATTAGTGAACAAAATTTAACCGTTTTGTTCCACGGGCTTTTAGCTGTCAGTGATGTTACAATTGCAAATAATCTTGTTTTGCGTAATATTTAAATTAAAAAACGTCCCAACCGAACTTAACTAGTGAATAAAATCTATTTTTCAATTGATTTTAATAACGAATGAAAACTTATTATTTGTTTAATTAAAACTGGAAAAAAGGAAAATATTAATGGAACAGAAAACGGTTGCACGATGTGACAAATGTTCATTAAAAAAAAAATATCATATAGAAAAAGTTAGAATCATAAAGGGAAAATAATATGTTCTCGGTAATTTGAGCTTTGTCAAATTACATTTTAGTATAATTTTTAAACATCATACTCTAGTGGCCTTTCAACAATTTATCTCCTTTCTCTTCCCTTTTTAGCTCTTATTGCAGTAAGAAGTGCAGATAATTTACTTACAGATACAATCTTAATTTAGATGATGTAGATTACTTTTTTACGTGAGCACGAGACTGCCGGTATAAACACATTTAAATACTCTTTCTATCATTTATGTATTTTGTTCTCCCCTCTCCCCCCCTTTTTTTCTATGTGTTGGAAAGCTATTTGATTGTTCATACAGTCATCAATAATTTGTACTTAATAGACAAAGCAGCACACCACCATATAAGCTAAGACCCCGAAAGCAATAAAAAACGCGATGGTACGTAGGATAGATTGTCGTCATACAATACTCGTTTGCGTGCTCTCTCGACGACAATTTAAACATACAAGAATTTCAGGAACTAATATTTAGATAACATTCATTTATATGCCGGACGTTAAAAATAACAAATTTTATTGCTCCATAATTGCTGTAGATATATTCACATAATCTCTTTTTAAATTTCTTCCTTAACTCTATTCACTTTATTTTATTTCTTTTTTATACTATTCAAAAAAAGAAAAGAAGAAAATTAGAAATATTTTGGTGTAGATAAACGAAATTATTCGTTTCTTTCTAAGGGTTATCACTGATCTCTTTTTTCCAGAATGTACAGATCACACATTAATAAACAGGTATTAAGCAACCCTAAATACCACATAATACGATGGCCAGTGCATCTACTCATGTATCGTTATATCTAACATTATATACCTAAACAACTTTGCCAAAAATAGATTTAGTCTATGTAACATAGAGTATAGTTAAGGGCATGCGATAAAAATTAACATTTTATCTTTCTCTTTTACAACTTCATATACAGCATTTACATATTTCTTCTTTATTTTTCTTTCTCTTCTTACAGCTTTTCTTATCAGTGATATCTCTTGGTATACTACTGCTTTATAGAATTTTTAAATTCACTTACAGTAATTAATGGAGCAACTTAGTTTTAGTCGTTATCAAAGGAGCCTTATAAACACACTCGTATAAATATATATACACGCGCGCATACAAGCGCGATACATACATTTTACACTTTCACTCATACACATATTGCATAAATACATTTTTTCTTACACTTATATACGAGTATAAACGATACCATCAATCAATGCTATTCCTTATTTTCAATATTATAATAAAAAAATATTTCTTTTACGCATATTATAATTAAAACATTAATATTATATTTACATTTTCATTCAATATTTTTATTAATGAATAATAGAACGCATAACAAAAAGAGTAAACAGTAACCATTTTCTATTTAACTATCGTAATCTGTTTTCATTTTATAAATATGAATAGCATTGAAAAAATGGTATCTTTACATTGATAACATCATTTATTTGAGAAAGAGGCATAAACTATGAAGAAATTTTACATAATTGCGATCCAAATAACAGATTGCTTAACTTTTTTCTCGTACGTCGAAACGATCCTTCCATTTAGTACGTATTTGATATACTTCCTGTTTCCCAAACAGGTAACATATCTTTTAAATAAGTCTCGACAAATGACTATGTTTTATATTTAATTTACATTTACATGTATAACAAATTTGTAAATATCAAAATATTCAAAATTTAATTGTCTTTTTTCCAGATATAATGCATAATTTTAACTTGTGACTATGTATAGTTAAAAAAATATTCTGTTTTAAGTAAAATACTTATTTAAAAGATACGTGATACACATTTAGGCTTAACATCTTAACTAGGAAATGAAATCGAAAATTAATCGGTTGATAAAGTACACAGAGCTTGACTTCTCTCGGTCAAGCTATAGATTGCCAGTTTTTAAATTCTGTTGACAGAACAGTGTAGAATACCATTTTTAAATGTACCATACGTGAAGAGAATGAACTTATTTATGAAATAACATTGATAAAAGAAAATGAAAGCAATGGACAGTTACTTCGTTAGGCATTTTTTTTTCTCTCAGTTATAAATATTTAGCTCGTGGTAGCTTGTTAAATAACAGAAAAGCATAACTATCCTTATATATTTTTTTTTTAATTATTATTATTATTATTATTATTATAATAATTATTATTATTATTATTATTATTATTACCATCGTAGACGCGTAAGTAGAATTAGGTTTGAGCTCTCTACTAATTCTGAAACTAGAAGATATTTTTTATAATTATTAGAATCGAGAAATCGAGTATTGCTATTATATATATATATATAAATATATATAAATATTATTGATATCGATTTGATTTAAACATTAATGATAAAATTTTTTTTTAAATAAGATTTAGTTGCAAGACCGCCACTCGACAAAGTTCGTTTTTTTAATAATAATGAACAAAAGAAAAAAAAGCTGAGGCTTCTTATAGATTTTTTTTTTTTTTATGTATCAGTATTCTACGCGTTTGACTTTAGCTGTTAAGAGTTTTAACCACACTACTTAAAGGAATCCCCGATGGCGAGATTTGTCTTACTTAATTATTAAATTATTTAGTTATCTTCCCTTTCGAATCCCTCCCATGTCCCATTACCCCTATTCCCCCCCCCCTTCTCCCTTCCCCCTTCGTCCCTGTTTTGTACGTCTATTTTTACACAAACAATCCTTCCCTGAATAATTATTTAAACTATAATTTATTGTATTCACCGTTTTTTGCACCAACGTTTATGTAAGACATATTTTTTGGCAACGACTGGCTTAATTTATTGTTTCTTACATTACTTTATACGAGTTTCGCTCTTTTTTTCTTTTCTCTTCTTTTTTTTTTTTTTTTTTCTTTTCTTCTTTTTTGTAAAAAAAAAAAGAGAAATAAAACAATACAAACATACGTTAGTTAGTAATGATCAGGCACTGCGCGTATGGTCATTCCCTCCTTTTCTGCGAGATACACTCGGTTTTAATGCGGTACGAGATGCGGACGGTCAATGCTTTAGGTGCCTTCACCTGGAGATTTCGTTGAATACAGATGCTCACGTGCACGCGAGTATAGATACATTTATTGTAACGAAAATCGTTTTTATTTTCGATCCATCAGCTTTTCTCTTCAGCTTGCGAAACGTGCCTCTACGAATTTATATTTCTTCGATTTTTAATCGCTTGTTAAATCGGTACAAAAAGAAAAAAGAGAGAGAGAGAAAGAAAGTAAATAGCGATTTTATAACTTAATTACCGGCGATGTAATCCCGGATATGTAATCGTGTACAATGGAGTGGAGTTAAAGCTATGGATCGAAAGTAGACAAGATCAGCCCGAGATGCTTCGTCATCACGAACAAATCTTCGTACGATAAGAAGAAGAAAGCTGTTTTTTTTTTTTTTTTTTTTTTTTTTTTTTGG